CAGCAAATAGACCCGCTCTTGATGAAATAGCACACGCTAAAGCTTTGACTTGATGAGAGATTGCTCAAGGTGTCCGTTCATGGAATCCAACAGTGGTATACGCCATAGAACCAATAATAAATGTTGCTTTGAAGATCTACCAATAAGCGAGACAGGCTACAGGTGGCTGATTGCCGGTCAAACGAGACGGTAGTTGAGAGGCACAACCTACGATGATCCACTTGCTGCCTTGGAGAAAAACATCCAAAGCGAAATAGAGACCTTGCTCCATCACAACGATAGTGCCCACTATGACAATTATGGCGAGCCCCTGACGACCTTCATGACACCAAAGAGCAACTCAAACGATTGCTGGATAGAATGAAAGACCTATGAATGCGCATGTCACTAATTTCTCTTGCACATCATGGAATGAATGTACGTACTTAGCCAAGGCCATATGGAAGTCCATAATGTTTGGTGCCATCCAACACGCATTTCCAATATCGTTGCTATGGAGATTTTGATACAACGACCAGTGCTGATAGCCATTCGAAAGGAATCTTACTTCTTCATGATGACTTGCCAAACCCGATAACCTTCCATGTCAAGTAGCTTGCTCCACTTCCCAAAAGGCGTATCCCACATCTCAAGTAGCTTATTCCACTTCTCAAATGGCCTGTTCCACTTGTTCAACACACATCCCATACCATTTCACTCAGCTCTTCATCTTTCCGTTAATGCAGCCGACACCATCCACTAGGGGAAAGCACCTCCATCACGCTTACAGAGTAGGTTAAAACATACAGGTTTGTGCATCTCTAAACTTTACAATCAACCGTGCGTTCTTTAACAGAACAAACCTGCTGGGCTTGACCAGCAGCACCTTGTGTGCAAGTTTCACAACGAAGGTAGCCAAGTCCAGACGTCCCAAATGTTGCGACCACACCAAAATCATCCCCAATGGACCACACCAATGGCCCACACCAAAACCCTCATCAATGGCCCCCACCAAAATCCACACCAAATGGACCACACCAATGGCCCACACCAAATGGCCCACACCAAATGGACCACACCAAATGGCCCACACCAAAATCATAATGGACCACACACCAAATGGCCCACACCAAAATCATAATGGACCACACCAAAATCCATACTAGGACCACACCAACATCCACACCAATGTCCATACCAACATCCACAGCAACATCCACAGCAAAATCAGCTTGATCCACTTCTCAAATCGCGTATTGGGATTGTGTTTGCATCATCCGAGGCTTTACGAAAAATGCATAGCATTGATATAGCAAGGTACCGAGCTATCTAAATCTCGTATATGTATAGGGATACATTACAATAACATGCTTGACGTGCCATGGTAAATGATGTAACCAAGAAAAAACCTTCGTGATCCTGGTATTCCAGTGCTCCATAGTAAGTGGGTTTGGATACGACCCATCCCGTAATGAACACTCTTACCTTGTGGTATTTTTCAATAGCATCCGCGCATCAAATAAGATCCATATCACAATGCTATGCATAATGTGCTGCTGCTGTTCCATTGTAAGGCTCATTAATTAAAATGTCCAGGTTTGTTGATCTAACGCTACACATACCACTAACACAATAATGTACGATCATGCTGCCGTCTTTTCCCATGCATGCCATGTATCCATACAGGTATGGTGCACACCTTCATATCTCCCAAACGTGAAAGGCTCGTGATACGGACACCGCGAATGGATATTACACGCCAATCGCTGGTCAATGTGTAAGTGCTTTGTATCATGATAATCCCTTCAAAAGCCCTACCATTTGGTTGCTACTGAACGTGTTTCCTTCATGAATCATAGCCATCGTCTTTAAGATAACCCCGGTTCATGGCGAAAGAGAGAGAGAGAGAGAGAGAGAGAGAGAGGCCCGGGAGCGTCATGGTAGGATTCAAATGACAGCACAATGCATCAGCAGGGAATGACGGTGAAATACTAGAAAATGTTGCTGACGGATACGATTCATACAATGACGATTCGCAATTCCTAATCAACACCATGGTCAATAAAAGGATGGCTAGGTGTTGTCCATTTTACCATTGATGTCCAGCTCCTGTAACCAGCGTGAGTCATTCAGCCATATTCTTGCGATATCATCATCAACATCTTTGTACAGTGGTGAAGCAGAATGAGCAGTGCAATTCCTTCAATGATGGGTAACTTGATCAAAGTCGTCCATAAAGTGTAAACCATCGCTACGATCGCCCCACAAAAAGACACATACACGTGCACGTATATGGGGTAATGGTATCAAACGGCAAATCCTCATTCATAACCATGGGAACAAGTGCACCCATAACGAGGTTGCAACGACATTGGCTGATAGAGTCAATGTATCTGCTGCAGGGTTGTTTGCCATCCAGCTTGGCGTGTTGCAGCGTGGCGTTATGGTATCCTTGACAACAACAATAATGAGAGCCTGCTTCCAAATATGGATAATATTGTACTGGTTACCTTATCCATAGGAAACGTTAGCTCCACAAGACTATCCAAGTGTTGTGAATGGCGAGTGTTGTGACATGTGCTTGGCATTGTGGAAGGGCAAACTAATGTTGGTGCATGGAGGTCCACGGATGCCGAATTGGCTGGAAGCTGACAATGAGGAATGCGTGGAATGTTGGCATTGGGGGTGTTGAATGGTAAAGGTTTTTAAGATACGTGGAAGAAGCTGCTGCTGGGAGGGTTGGTTAAGTGGATGGAAATAAAGAGGGAGACAAAGGTACGCAGCCTAATTTAAGGGCGCCTTAACAATTTGGGAACACCCGCCAGAAGGCATCATCATCCTTGCCATCCAATCAATAAAGACGCTCGGATGGGCTGCTTCATATAATGGATCCATCAAGCATTATTAGAAATAAAGATAAATAGAGGGAGATACACCACAGGATGTTGCTGTTTCAACTTGGGTCTACGAGATGATATTCCTGCTACACCAGCCTTTTACAATATCAGTGCGACATGTTGCATCCTTGTGTCACCATTCTTTTACTGCATGAAAAAGCAACAAACGAGGATTGATGATATGGTCAACCTTCAGACACAAAGTAATCATTCAATCAAATACCCATTTCTTTTTATCCAGGATGGAGCTAAGGTGTGTACGATTTTATCGTCTGAGATCACACATCTGCTGAGGTTACACGGCATCCAAAGATATGATGATTCCACCTTTGCCATCTTCAACCTGTTCACCATACCAAGGGACATTCATCTACGCACATGTTATTGAAAAGGCTTCACTATGTTCAAGAAAAAAGAAAACAATATAATTGTACGAGCCAGCCGCCACGTGTATTGGATCACTTAAGGTGATAATCTGATTTACCAGCTCTCTTCACCGTCGTACCAATGTATCCAAGTAGGGATGCTGAAGATGCATGAAATGAAAGGTGTCTTATAAGTGATTGTGCACTCGTGTCATGGCACTAAAGCATATGATTTAGGATGAACCAAGAAAAGAACGCTAATCCCAGCAAGCACATCCATTAAGGTTCAGGCCCACGAACAAGGATAACAAGTGAATCGATAATAGAAAGGCAAACGATCTCAACACGTATATGCAAGGTGGCCTAAAGCGACAAGTCAAGACAATGATGCAATGAGAAAGATATCAGAGCTGAGGCTAGACAAGGACTGATGATGAAGGCATACGATAATCACACTGCAGATTTATTCAATAAAGATGGTAGCTTGTTTATGTTGCAAGATTTGAATGAGTAGGAGACGACAATGGCGATATACGTCACCATGCATCCACGGTAGTCCAAATGATGATCCTGGCCATGCCCACACGAACCAATACCAGTAATTGCGTTTTATCCTTCACAATAGTACGCTGAGCATCTTTATTTTCATGGATCATACAGCTACCTTAGTCCATCCAGCTACCAAATACAATAGGCGACCTCCATCATAGCTCCCAGATCTCTTACCATATCCACTGTGAATTCCTTCAGCATCCTGTGAGCCTCCAGCCAATACATACACAATCCTGAACCTATGGAAGCAAACATATCCAATTGATCCATCATGCATACTTACACCCTTATCCCAAAGGATTACCACCCATCCGTTTATACCTTGCGTAAACCTGGTGTATTATGATACAATCCGACAATGACATAACCGCACAGGATGAAAGCAATAAGACGTAGGCGAGTTGACACTGCAAATTGGTAAAAGGCTTGCGAGGTAAAAAGGTGCTGTACAGCGTACAATCCTTAGTTGAACTCTTTGAAAAGACATCCATCAGTAACCATGTTCGGCAGCATACGTGAGGCCGAGTGCTTTGGCAAGTACTTGATGATGATGATGATGATGATGATGATGATGATGATGATGATGATGGTGATGATGATGATGATGATGGTGATGATGATGATGATGGTGGTGATGATGATGATGATGATGGTTAGCTACTTGAAACAATCAACCATTGTATAACGATACTACCGTTGCCTCCTTAATACTTCACGTACCAGTACCTGTAACCATGGCAAAATGTATCCTACGCGCATTGAAAAGCTGCCAGCACGTTTACCTGTTATAGCCTTGTTGGGTACCTTTGGAGACGTCCAAGCTCAGCGCCACGAACTTACAAAAGGAGAGACAATGAGCGGTTGTGGAGGAAGTATACCTCAGTGGGAGGCGCCATTGACGAAGGTGGAAGTTGTGTAGCGTGTCATAGAAGAGGAAGCTGAAACGAGTACTGGGAGATGAGCCACCAGCTTAGTTGTAATGACGCGTAACCAAGGAGACGAATGCTGGCTGACACCAATTCTGTTTGCAGATGGTGAACAAGGAATGTCGACAAGGTGCAAAGTAAGGCTTGGGCCAAGTATAGAAATGAGTCGTCGTTGGAGCAAAAGGAGGATAAAGCATCCGCTGGTTGCCTCGGAGCATTTTATCCACTAATTTTCATGTTTGGGTGGCGACCACCCCTCTTTGTTTCCCAGCCAACCAACAATGGACGACTCGATTTGGGAGGATTTATGCAAACAGCCAATACTCAAAGCCTCTTCTGAAAAATATGCAAAGCTTGTTTACGATTCGACCACGCAACTGCTTCAACCCATTCAATCGATCTTGTCAGCTCTGAATCTACGCGCCATTGGGTTGACAAAGTGTGCCGACTTTGATGCTGCTCTTCGCGATGCCAAAGTTATGCAACAGCTATCGCCTTTTTCAGCTCTTGGATATCTATGTGCAGCCGAGATTTACAGTGAGCAAGGAAAGCAGCTTCAAGTCATCAATGTATGCAACAAGGGATTGAGTATGACCGACACCATGGATAAGCAGTATGATGATTTGAAACGAGCCAAGATGGATGCTGAGCAACACCAAAGTAAACGGATCGACTTTGTTAGCCAACTACCTGTCGACATTGTGATTTCAACGCTTATTCCCATCATGATGGATGATTCAGCTATCAGCTTAAAGAAACCCAATGTCTATTTGCATGTATCCAACACATGGCGTGATCGTATCAGCCAATCCTTTAATGGTATACGTTTCGAGACTTTATCTGAAGAGGGCGACAACCTGTCACAAGTGATTGAACTTGCTCCACATATCAAGGAATTGGATGTTCAACAATTTACCCGAGGAAAATGGCTTTGTGATTTACTGCGCAATCATGACTTTTGCTCGTTAGGGGAATTACACGTTGGCGGTAAGTTGTCATATTCATTCATTCGTGAGCTTTTATTTACCATTGATTCCGAAAGGCATTACAGCTGATTGTAGTGATTATTTGGTGTCGTCGTTAAAGTCAATTGGCAGCACTTTGACACATGTTTCTATCCAGCAGGAAGATGGCAGCATGTTATCGATAGGCGACATTCTCTTCAACTGCCCCCATCTTGTCTCACTCGGCATTATCCACCCGTTTGCTCCCAATTTCAGCTCGCTTCGAATGGTAAAATGGCCCAATCTCACTAGATTATCCTTCTCCAATACAGAAAAGGACGTCGGCTGTGATCAGATTAAAGCAATTGGCAAGCGTTTTCCATCACTCAAGGTGCTTTCACTTTATCCATGTGAAGAGATACAATTGACAAACGTTGTTTTGGATACTTACCCAAGGATGAATCAACTTGACTTTTGCATGGATAGCCCAGCTGCTGATCTCACGTATACGGAAGAAGGACCACAATGTAGCGATGTTGGGATTACGGATATTTCGGTGCATGTGGATCGTTCGGATTGGGAAGGTTATCATATTGATCCTTGGGAGAATCTTATTCCTATATTGAAAGAGAATCATAAAACGATCCAACACTTCAAAATTGACATGGACTTTGAAGATGATAACAAGGATGTCTACGACCTTGAGTACCCTCGGCTGAAGAAGCTTTGTCTTTTTAACTCTGGATGGTGGATACCGCGCAACGCACCCATACTTGAGGAATTGACGATGACGTCTCGTGCAATCAAAGGAAATCCAGCAGTGCTTGATACAATACCGCCCACTTTAAAGAGACTCGAATTGAAATTGGGTCGTGCAGCCTATCATCTTAATGACGAAACATCAGCCGTTTCAGCATACCTCCATCGACTTGCCAATCACTCTCAGCTAAAAGAGGTTGTTGTTCATTTCCACGACGCGCTTATCATTAGCAATGTGCTTGATGCAATCCAACATCTTGGTCGGATTCAGAACTTGACACTAATTTTTACAAGGATGTGGGGACCCTGTGTTTGGGAATCGTATGAAATGGACCGCTTTGTTGATGGGCTTGCAAAAGGGTGCCCTCGCTTATCCAGTCTTGAAATCAACTGCAAGAACGCGCCATCGACGTATACTGTGAATGCTTTGAAACGACTTGAACATTTGGAACAACTCGTAATTTCAATCGAGGAGATGGGTGGCGATGATGGTTTTTGGCATGCGCTTGAAACTTTTAAACAGCTCAAATGTATCCGGATCTATTCTGCAAAAGCTGCCAACATGGATGCTATTCGACATCTCCAAGGACAACGGCCTGACTTGAAGATCATCTTCGACAAACGCCCACACACCTTTAATGGTTTTCTTGTCATAAATCCATCATATGGGTTCACCGTCTAAATACCTATCCCGTGTTTCATTCCCATTTTTACAAAGCATCAAAATAAATCATTGCTGTTGTCTTCATGTACGCAAAAATAGAGTTTCTTGAAACATGTTGGACTTGTTTTCGTTAATACAGGTGCGGGGATAAGATCGGATAGCCTGCTGCTTGTGGCAATACAACATCATAACCACCATAAACATTAAGCGTGATAAGATTATCTTTTCCAAGGTATTATAGTACTGCATTTTATTGTGGTGGACTATAAGGCTACACTAATGCCGCTAGCGAAATGGCACTACACAGCACCCAATAATACCCCAACTCCATATCCATCCTACCTTCATCCATCATGCTTAGCTGTCATGGCTGCCTTAATACGCTTACCACACCTGTACCTCCTTGTATAAGCTCATCCGAAAGATCCATCATCCTCCAAACTTACCTCATGATCACATAGCCTCGCCATTCCTTCATGCTTGAGCATCGAGTATAAGTATAACAATACACACCACGATTCGGTAACCAGCGGCACCATCAAAGAACCTCGCAACAGCGTAACATGGATACCAAGAGCTGAAGCAATTCCATAGCAACAGATGTGTGGCAGCAATACGTGTTGCGTGTTTCACAATCCTTTGTTTACCCGCAAGTTGGAAGATGCACATGGCTGGCCGTGCATGAACAAGTACCTCTTGAAGCACATGTTAATAAGCACCATGAAACAAAAACCCTCTGTTGTAATCCTGCCAACATGGTATTCCACTACCCATACCTGTAACCAATGCAAAGTACATCAACCCACGTTGCTTCGTTTGTTGTCGCCACGTTTATACACGATAGCCGTGTTAGCTGCCTTTGTACTAGTAAAGCTGAAAACAAGTACGACGTTCTTGAAGCAGATGAGGCGACAGCAAGCGTGGCGATCGCTTTTCCCTGGAAATGCTGTAGTCAAGTGTGCACGTTGTGTAGCGTACTGTAGTAGAGGGAGCTGAAACAAATACAGGTAAGCTTTGAGCAACCAAAAGTTGTAGAGATGACGCGTAACCAAGGACACAAATGCTGACTGAACACCAATTCTGTTGGCAGATGCCGAACGAGGAATGTCGACAACGAGGAAAAGTAAGGCTCTAGAGAAGGTGGCAAAGTATAGAAAGTAGACAAGTGGAATAAAGGTGTTGCTGTTGTTGACGCCTGCGCCAAGAAATATTTTATGCTGGGGGTGTGTCGTGTCACTTGACTTTGTCTCTTCCTCCTCCGCCAATCCAATAATGGAACGCTCTATTTGGCACGCTTTATGCAAACAGCCCACCCACCCAGTCTCCACTGAAAAGTACACATCACTTGTCTACGATGCAACCACGCAACTAGATGAACGCATTCAATCGGTCTTGTCGGCTTTAGATCAACGCGCGATTGGGTTGACAAAGCTTGCCAACTTTGAATCAGCTGTTCGCGATGCACAAGCTATGCAACAGATCTCGCCCACTTCACCACTCGGATATTTACGTGCAGCCACCATTTACAGCGAGCAAGGAAAACAGAGCTATGTGGTTGCCATATGCCTCATAGGGCGCAGTCTGGTTGATGCCAACGACCCCGGTTACGCCACGTTGGAACATATGAAGGACGCTGCCATTCAACAAAAGTGTAGACGGATCGACTTTATCAGCCAGCTTCCGATTGACATTGTTGCTTCAAGGCTTATTCCCATGATTATCGATGATTCTCCTTTGGATGCATTGAAACCATGTCCCTATTTGCATGTTTCGAAACAGTGGCGTGATTGTATCTTCCAATATTCAGATGGATTATCATTTATGACTGGGAGACGGGCAAAACAACCAGATTTGGAAAAGTGTTCGCAATTGATCAGGTTTTCTCGACACATCAAGGAACTAGAAGTGAATCAATATACCAAGGGTACCTGGCTTTGTGATTTATTACGTGACAATGACTTTTGTTCGTTGCGGAAGATATGCATTTGGGGTAAGTGGTATCCATTTTTTAGCGCTCACCTATTTACGATTGCTTATAAAAGAGGTACGTCCCGCCTATATGGATCAATTTGTTTCGTCATTGGAATCCGTCGCCATCACATTGACGCATCTCAGCATTCATGAGGATCCTTGCAATACAGTACCCATGGCCAAGATATTATCAACTTGCCCCAATCTTGTTTCGCTTTCCATCAGAGAGCCCGATCTCGACACTTTTATGGAACTACCCGAGACAACAACATGGCCCAACATCACAACATTATCGATGAACGGTTTAGAAGTGAACCTTACGAGTGCTCAGGTGAACAGCATTTGCCGCCGTTTTCCAGCAGTCAGGAATCTTGACTTTTATCCATGTCCCGATATCAAAACGGCACTCATGATTCCAAAGTATTGCCCGTTGTTGAAACGCGCTGAGATTGACATTGACGACTTTTTGATAAACGTTCGATTTGTGGATATCGATACTGGATCTGACGAGGTTGTGGTTACGAAGTTTTGGACCTTCATTGAGGAAATGGAAGATGAGCGGGATTGGGATACTTTGGATTTGGGCTCTGCTTTGAGGCAGCATCGCACAACAATCGAGGGCATCACATGGGACATCTCCTGCGAAAGAGACTTTCACGACCTTGACGATATCCAATACCCTCGCTTAAAGACGCTATCCCTAGTCACCAACGCACCATCCATAACACATCATGCACCAATACTTGAAGAGTTGACGCTATCAGCAACAGCAATCGATGCCAATCCTGCCGTTCTGGATAAAATACCATCCACTTTGAAGAAGCTGAAGTTGGATTTGGAGGAGAGCTCTGAAGATAGTGATCCAGAAGCCATTGAAGGATACCTTTGTCACGTGTCTGAGCATTGCGAACTACAAGAACTTGCTATCCGTTTCGGCGACTCGAATGGCTTTCCCGATGTGCTTGCTGCTATCTACTGTTTCAAAAGCCTTAAACGCCTAAATCTCAGATTCTGCTGGACTTGGGAGCCACATCAAATGGAAAGATTCTTTGACGGGCTTTTGTATGGATGTCCTTTTCTATTGTGCCTTGAAATCCAATGCATCAACGCTCCATCGGTGTATGCCCTGAATGAATTGAAACGACTTCCCTATCTGAAGGAAATTGCTTTTTCGATCCAGGACATGGATCGCTATGACAGCTTTTGGCATGAACTTCGGACGTTTTCTCAACTCAAATGCATTCGTGTCTATCATGAAAATTCAGTCAACATGGCTCCAATTCAACGCCTCAGCGAATACAGGCGGGACATGAATATCATTACGCGGAGCTGGTTCGAACCATTTTGAGCGTTTTCTTAGATCATGGATTATATGGGTGTTAATACCCCCAATTCGTATCTTGTCATTTGTTTTCGATCAATAAAAACTTCTTCGTATCAGTATCCATGAAAGGGGGTTATCGATGATGCATATCCGTATACAAGCATTCGTCATCTTCATAGCTTCAAAAGTTTTGGTGGTAGCATCGGTTCCATTAAAGACACGATAATGCAATTTGAAGGTATATGGTTACCACTAGTAATCATGCATAAAAGAACAATGGTGGTTTAAAATGACCGGCATTGGAGGCTACAGTATGAGTGCAGTTACTGATAGCTGACAGCGGATGATGATTACGTGGTCGATTATTCATTCCTTTTGTTTACTAGCGCATAGATAGTAAGGATAAAAGATGTATTTAAATGCAATATCGTTAACATATCAGAATAAAGAGAAGTTCATTATCAAGCATAGAACACGTTACTGCGTACCGTACGCTCATTCCCATACATATCATGCTATAGGATCGCTAGTCACCCATTCTAAGCCAATCGCAATGTTGTTGACACCTTGTCTACTGCAATAGAAGTATTGATGATGATGATGATGTTAGCGGTGGATGATGATGACGGCGGTGGATAATGATGATGATGATGATGATGATGATGATGATGATGATGATGATGATGATTGGGCGTGCGTAGGATGGTAATCGAATGTCTCATGATCAATGGCTGTCGTATATGATATTCTCGCATGAAAGATAAATAGCGTTTGGTTGTTCTTTTTGCGACCCCGTGTGGATACCAATATAAAAGCAGCAGAAAAGTGTGCATGTGCTCTAAGATTGTATAATGTCCATCACCTGGAAACCCGTCTCCTTGACAACATGATGCACAACGTTTATTTGATAAAGCAAAAGGCTATACTACTATAACTAGCGAACCGCCAATGCCCATCATCCATCTTGATTCCAACATCACAGTTCCTTACCATGTCCTATGTATCGAGCGCTCCTCCAACGTGCATAGATCCTTCGATACGGTAAAGACATATGTACCTGCCAATCCCTGGCCCTCCTTGAACAAGCATGCCCACAAGACCCATCATGCAACCTATCTCATCCACCTCAAGACCACCACGTGTGTTACCTTAATAGAAGCTTTGATACACCATTGAAGGAAAAAAACAGGTACACCAACACGATAGCATACAATAGCAACAAAGAGACCCGATGGTATCAACCTTGCTTGAGGGAAAAGGCATCGTTGCACATGCCATCATCATCTCGCCATTCGGGTGCTGAAACAACCACATTCAATATGATGGATCTCGCGCTTGCTTTGACGAATACCTGGTAATGATGATGATGATGATGATGATGATGATGATGATGATGATGTTGGCCAGCAACTTGAAATAAATACCCACCATTTAGATGTTGCTAGCATTCCACTCCTCATAATATTGCACGTACCAATACCTTTTGCACAGGTCAACGTATATCGAACAACGTTGTACACATACAGTTGGGGTGCTCGTAACTCGTTTATATCGCATAGTTGTGTTTGGTGACTTTAGACTGGTCAAGCCGAATACTTCCACCAGGATCTCGAACCAGATGAGGCTACACCAATTGCTGATTATCGTTTTTCCCTGGAGCCGTCATTGTCAAACGTGCAAGTTGTGTAGCGTGGTGTAAAAGAGGAAGCTGAAACGAGTACAAGCAAGCGACGACTCACCAGAAGTCTTTGTTGTGCAGATGACGCGTAACGAAGGAGACGAATGTGGACTGGTCACCAATTCTGTTGGCAGATGGCGAACGAGCAATGTCGACAAGGGGTAAAAGTAGAGCTTTGGGGAGGGTTGTCAAGTATAAAAAGGGAGCTGTTTGGGATAAAGAGAATAAAGCAGCTTTGTTGTTCGGGATTTCTTGGCCAATGAATTTTATGCTGGAACGGGTCCACTTGAGTTGCTTCCTTCTTCTTCACTCAGTTCAACCAACGATATGGCTCATTCTATTTGGACCGATTTATGCAAACAGCCCACTCAGGCAGTGTCAACTGAAAAGTATGCAGCGATTGTCTACGATGCAACCACCCAACTCCATCAACCCATTCACTCCATGTTGACAACTCTGGATCGGCGCGCCATGGCATTGTCAAAGCTTGCCAACTTTGAATCAGCTCTTCGTGACGCCAACGTTATGCAACAAATCTCGCCCTCTTCACCACTTGGGTATGTTCGTGCAGCCGACATCTACAGTGAGCAAGGAAAACAGCGCCATGTCATTGATGTTTGCACAAGAGGGATGATGATGGTGGATCGTGATGATATGCACTATGATCTATTGCAGCGAGCCAAAGACAATGCTATACAACGGCAGGATAAACGCATTGACTTTATCAGCGAGCTTCCTATTGACATTGTTGCGACAACCTTTTTGCCCATGATTGCTGGTGATTCTCCTTTGGATTCATTGAAACCATGTCCCTATTTGCATGTGTCCAATGCATGGCGTAATTACTTTTTGCGATATTCAGATGGATTGCGTTTCGAGACTGGGGACGAGGAAGAAGAGGAAGATCTGGAAAAGTGTACCCAATTAGTGAGGTTTGCTCGACACATCAAGGCGTTGCATGTTGGTCGATATTCGAAAGGAACCTGGCTATCGGATTTATTACGAGAGAATGATTTTTCTTCGCTGCGGGAGTTGTACGTTGATGGTAAGTGTGGTCATCATCTCTTATTGTGCACCTACTTATCATTGTCCATATAAGAAATGGGAGTTGACTATATGGATCGCTTTGTTTCGTCGTTGCGATCAATCGGTAGCAGATTGTCACATTTGCATATTCCGGAAGACTATGCAAACGTCGTCCCTGTGGCAAGAATATTATCAGCCTGCCCAAACCTGGTTTCCCTTGTATTACATGAGTCGGATCTTTGCGTTTTCAAGAATGTACCCATGACACCATGGCCAAACATGACGACATTATCGCTCTTCTGCCAACCAGAAAGACTTCTTCCACATGAGATAATACCCATCTGCCAGCGGTTTCCAGCATTGAGGAAATTCGACCTTTATTCATGTCGAGATATCGAATCGGCGCTCATGATACCACACTATTGCCCGTTGTTGAAAAGTGTTGAGCTTGCCTTTGAGATCATGACTGTGGGTGTTTCCTATACGGATCGCAACACTGGGTCTGAAGATGTTGTGGTTACAAAGACTTCTGTTTACATGGACGATTGGGAAGAATTTAGCGACGTTGCGTTCGAGGATTTTCATCCTACTTTACGGCAGCATCATACAACACTCGAGCACATCGAATGACATATTTCGCCTGAAAGAGACTTCCACGACCTTGACAACATGCAATATCCTCGCTTAAAGAAGCTATCACTCCTCACTTCGGCACCATCAATACTACAAAACGCACCTATACTTGAAGAATTGAAGATGACATCAAACGCAATCAAAGCCAACCCTGCAATCCTGGATACAATCCCATCCACGTTGAAGAAGCTCAAATTGAAATTGGAAGATGGACGCAATCATGTTGATCCGAACACCATTGAGCGCTATCTTGGTCGCGTGGCTCAGCAATGCCAAATACAAGAACTTACAATCCACGTCGACATGTTCGTTGCCTTTGAGAATGTGCTTCAAGCTGTCTACCGTTTCAGCATGCTCCAACGTCTAATGCTCAAATTCAGGAGGGATTGGCAGCCGTATCAAACGGAAAGATTCCTTGAAGGTCTTGTGAATGCATGCCCTCATCTATCTTCGCTTGGAATCGATTGCAACCACGCTCCATCGACCTATTCCATGAATGCATTGAAACGACTCGTTCATCTAAAGGAATTCGCCTTTTCCATCAAGGACATGGGCCCCTATGACAGCTTTTGGCATGAACTTCGGACGTTTTCTCAACTCAAGTGCATCCGGGTACGCGATGAAGATCCAATCACCAAGTTTCAAATTCGACAACTCAAGAAGCACAGGCCTGATATGAATGTTATTATAGATGGATGGTACCAGCCGTTCTGAACGCGGTCTTAAATAGTGGAATATAAGTATTATCATCTCCAATACATATCCTGGCATTTGTTTGCCATGAATAAAACTGCTTTCGTTAGTATACATCTGTATCAATAGGAGTTTTTTTATGATACCTTGTACTCGTATGCATGGCCATTGCCCTCAAAATTAGAAGGAGAGCTCTTGCATATTTGAACACCTTTCCTATAAAGCTACATAGCCTTTGTATATAAATACGCTCATAGAGGGTGACGGCTCGGATGACCTTTTGTATCCCAAACAGCTCTTGCACACGCATTATTACCTGTATGATAGTGGTTGGTAATGCTAGTAACGAAAGCTGTGGTATTCAACATTCAAGGATGTGACGTGTTCTGCTATACATGTGATGATAATTCATGCATGACGCACGCACCGCTATTCACAATCGCATTTCTCGGGCGATGCACTACATCACGATTTTTATTTTGATGGGCCACGAAGCTACGCAAAGACAGCTAGCAAAATACTAGTCCGCCTCATCCAGCACTATCTCGATCCTAAAAGCTCATACCGTATCCATGGTGGCATAATCGAACGAGTACAGGATCCAGGTTCGGCAAATGTATACCATCATCATCATCATTCCAACCTCCCTCATTCACGAAAAGTAAGATAGTGTATTTGATCATTTCCATATATACGGTGTACAATCGCGACATGCCCAGCATTTGAAGGAATGACCATGGAATACGTTGATGGCAAAACATGAAGGAATATGGAGACTCCACCGCGACAAAGGACTCGGATGACTAAAGGGTATCATTGCTGCTTGCCATTATTCTTTGGTGGACCCCTTGCGCTGAAACAATCCGAGTCAATAACCAATCCAGTGTTCATCCTACAAGAGATGGACCATGAAAACGATGATGATACAGTAAGCAGCTTGAAATAGTAACCACTGTTTGCTTTGCAACCATTTCCCTCCCCTATGTATTCCACGTACCGATGCCTTTGTTCATGCAAAGCATAAGAAATTCTTGCCCAATCCCACCACCATAAAGCATAAAGACCACCAAAGCGAATCACTGAATAGGCATGCCTTAGTACATGACATTCATAATCCAATGCACGGGAATACACATTACCGGAAAGAGTGACCAATGGAAAGTGTATCCAAACACACCGGGTATCACCATGACCCGATAGGATGAATGTAATCCGTTACTGCGTGGTCTTGAGATACATTCCAAAAAGAGCAAACGTATCACCATCACGCCTTGCATTGTCACAGTGGACATTCCTTGCTTGGTATCATCCCATCCAATGTATCCACATCACCAGGAATGAACAAATTCATTGATGATGGCAATTCTTGATGTCCCTGCTGTAATCCATTAATCATCCTCCTATGATCCACTCCCTTGTCTTCATTATCACTGCTCTTTGTACATACCATAAGCCGAAACACCCTCCCATGCTCAGTTGTTGACTTGCTGGCACGTGACCAAGTCGCGGATAAAGGTTGCTGCTATTGAGTACAAGAAGCACGCCTATAGAGCACATCAATGAAACCCTTTTGCTACACACGTTTCCAGTCGTCTTGCTTACCCCATCACCAGTGCAACATTTGCCCTTCGAAAACAGAATCTCTTTCCACATTCCACCTCAATCTTGAAATTGCCGACATTCCTGAAGCAAGAAAGCTGTGAAAAGGCAACCATATCAGTATACACAGCGAACAAAGACAAGCCTACATTTGCACTCTATCACCACGTTGCTCACCTTCATTGGTACCCTTGCGCATATGGAGTTGACTAATGAGGGGCTCCCATGTCGAACCACGATCGCGCTTGTTGTGAGGTCTGGATAACAAGTAGCAAGGAGAAGCTGAGTAGACAAATCACCCTTTTGACACAAGGGCATGGAAATTAGCCACTTCCAATGAGACATGCATGCAACATACACACCGCTATCGCAGCCAAGGCAACCGCTCTCTCCACGGCAACATGCTTTACTATTGTTGCCTGTCAAGAGGTGCGCGAATGAATGACGGGGCACTCATCTATATAAGGCACAACATATAAAAGCAAGATTCGTGCACCAGGATGAACCACGCGACATAGCATGCAGGAGGATAATAGTATTATTAATATGGGACATAAGGAAAGCTGTATAAATAAAAGGCAAACGCGGTAGTAATGGTGCTGCGTGTGTGTTCAATCTTGTTTCAAGGTGCAGTTGTTATTGTTGGTACTTCAATTGCATGTTTTATAGGCTCGTGCTCATTATCGATCTTGATCGCATCCCCTTGCCTTTCTAATACAGGCCGCTCAAGCTGCAGCGTCTGCTCTATTACAGTATGATTGAGACGATTGGCAATGAGCCAAGGCAACTTTTTATATGGCATCATGTTTACAGCATAAAGACATCCATAGCTCAAAATGCCACAATGAAGCATGGGCTCTTTTTGCAACCGACGTGCTCAGCATGGTCGAAACTACCTTGTGTGAAAGGTCCAGGATCGAACTCGTTAATCTCAAATTTGGCCATGTCACCACCCGCCAAAATGAAAGCAGGTCGACCTCTTGAAACTTTTTGGGTGACATGGACAAATGCGAAAATTGCTATTGACGAGTTCGAGCTTGATACTTTCACACAAGGTAGTTTCGACCATGCTAAGCATGCTGGTTCCAAAACGAGCCCATGCTTCATTGAAAGCTTTTGAGTTACAGGCGCGTGTATGTTTTGCTATTATAAAGGTGGCTCTTTTTCAATTGTGACCGATATGTACATTTATAGTGAGATAGGTGCGAAAGATGGTGTTTGTATACGAAAGTGAAGAAAAAAGGATTAAAAGAGCAATGGATGATATGGGTACACTGTGTCACGGTCATTCATATACTGCGAGCTATAAGCCAATTCTACCCAATTGAGCCCATTGTGAATTTGACAACGTGTGATGAATGCGCCTGCTCCAAGGTTCAGATCCATGGTTTAATTACATTGATCCGACCCGATTTGGATGAGCTGCGCTTAAACCAGGTTTTCTCTAGTGGATACACCCGTATGCGTTGCATGTTGGATGCGACATACCCGTTACGTGGCCGTAATTTCCTGAAATGGGCTCGGATCAAGACAACTGAATGATGGAAATGAATCTTTGGAGCAGGCGCATTTTTCGTACGTTATCAAATCCATGACGGTCTGATTGGGTGGAATTGGCTAATGGCTAGCAATGTATGAATGACTGTGACATGGCGTATACATATGATCCATTGCTCTATCAATGCTGGTTTCTTTGCTTTCGTACCCAAACACGGCCTCGTGCAGCTATTGCACTATAAGTGGTTATACGAGTGACAATTGAAAAAGGCGACTTTGTCATATAGCATCATCTTTACAGCATAAAGACATCCATAGCTCAAAATGCCACAATGAAGCATGGGCTCTTTTTGGCAACGACGTACGCAGCATGGTCGAAACTACCTTGTGTGCCAGGTTCAGGATCGAACTCGTCAATCTCAAATTGGGCCATGTCACCACCCACCCAAAATGAAAAGATCGACCTCTTGAAACTTTTTTTGGGTGGCATCGACAAACGCGAAATTTGCGACTGCCCATGATGACCGTGAAACGTGCACACAAGATACCTTTGACCATGCTGAGCATGGTTGTTCTAATAAAGACCCTCGCGTTTTATTGTGAGGTTTTGAGTAACGACCCGCTTTACGGTTTTTACCTATGCTTGAAACATGATCTTAAATAACAAGTGATCTTTAATGATTGTCAAACGTCTCGCACAAGGGCTGAACATGAAGATGAAAACATTTGTATTCAAAGATTGCTATAGGCAGAGCACCTAGTTCCTATCTATTGTGGATTGTTGAAGGAAGGAATGGATGTCCAAGAAGGATGCCGAAGCAAATGCAAGCGAAAAAGAGAAGCTGTATCGAGGTGCCGTAACCAAGAGACAAATCATGATAGCGAACCGAGTTCTCAATTTTGGATCACTGATAAAGAGCCTAAGACATACAACCAAAGAGAGCTGCCATTAGCAACCATACGCGAGCATCTCCCCTCAAAGAGCTATTGTGGAACATGTACATACCATCCTGATTCAATCCCCATGTAATCGCTCACAGCGGTATCTCTTCTCCCATATCCAATGGAAAGCTTCAAAGAAATCTTGTACGGTCCACATTGCCATGCTTGCTGCATCTTGACGGGCCATCAAAGTATATCCATACCATGTATTGCACCTCTTGATGTCCATGTATCCTTTCATTCTCTTGTACGGCTATGAACTCACGTGATTGGTACGCACGAATAAAAGTTGCTGTTGCTAGTTCCAATAGGCTCGTCAATGAACGGTGTCCATGCCAACCAATGCCTTGCTACAAACCTTGCACCTTGGCTTTAGCTTCCTACTTAAACAAAGCACCCGTTGCCATCCTTGAGCAGAATCCCGTTCCACATTCCTCCTAAATCTTGAAATTGTGGACATTCCTGAACCACGACAGCTGTGGCAAGATGCCCATATCAGTATACAAAGCCAACAAAGGCAAGCCTACATTTACACTCTATTAACACGTTGCTCACCTTTATGGGCACCCCCTACCCCACAACCTTTGCTAATGAGCTTTTCCCAATGTCGAATTACGATCCTCTTGTTGTCAAGTCTGGATAGAACCAAGCAAAGAGAAGCTGAGTACATGGCGTACACGTCCCGTTTTGATGCACACAAATGAAAATGACCCGTCTCCATGCACCTTTCTACACACAGCACCACCCAACACCGCTCACACCTAGCTGCTTCCATAGCAACCTACATGATTACTACTATCACTATGTGTGGATAAGTAATCGTTTATTTCATAGATGAAAGCTACAACATACAGTATAAAAGAGAAGACTCTGTGCTTGTAGACCTTGTATTATTTATAGAAGAAGATGACCGTAATAGATGCTTTTGTATATAAGAAAGGTTTTATTTCATAAAAGTAAGCAACTAGCTATGCCAATTCTTA